ATTGCCTGAACCCAGGAGGCGGAGGTTGCGGTGAGCCGAGATCGCGCCATTGCACTCCAGCCTGGGTAACAAGAGCGAAACTCCGTCTCAAAAAAAAAAAAAACCAAAAAATGAAAGGAGAAGCCATCTCTCCAGTCTGCTTGCCTCCTCAACCCCTTCCCCAGTCTTGGCAGAGGAGAATTTTAACCTTATTTCAAGAATGGTAGAGTTCTCAGTACCCTGAGTGCCATTGGATGCCCTCTGAGTCCCTTCTGGGAAGGTGATGAGACCTCTGAAATGGGAAACTCCACAGGATCTTGTGCATTTTTGATAAGCAAGGAACCAAAGCTGTTGACTTTTCCAGACAGATGATTAGGTTTTCAGATGAATGAAAAGAGCTGGGGGGGGATCGCTTCTCGGCCTTTTGGCTAAGATCAAGTGTGAAAAGAGCTAGGGTTTCCTTTGACTATACACTCAAACCTCAGAACATGAGCTCTTTCGTGTTGAATATATATGTGCTGTCCTTCCTCAGTGTTCTGCTTATAAGCTAACTTAGATTGGTTGTTTTTCTTTTCTTTTTCTTTCTTTCTTTTTTTTTTTTTTTTTTTTTTGAGATGGAGTTTTTGCTCTTGTTGCCCAGGCTGAAGTACAATGGTGTGATCTCTACTCACTGCAACCTCCACCTCCCAGGTTCAAGTGATTCTCCTTCCTCAGCCTCCCAAGTAGCTGGGATTACAGGCATCTGCCGCCACAACGGGCTAATTTTTGCATTTTTAGTAGAGACAGGTTTTCACCATGTTGGTCAGGCTGTTCTTGAACTCCTGACCTCAGGTGATCCACCCTCCTTGGCCTCCCAAAGTGTTGAGATTACAGGCATGAGCCACCGTGCCCTGCCAGATTGGTTGTTTTTCTAGTAATGAAAGAAAGGCTGTTCCGAGCCACCCATCCCCTTGGCTGGTCTTGCCTTTCAGAGTAGCATCCATTTTCACAACAGCTTGCCAGAGTTTGAGTGTGCGGAAGCTGGGTAATGGAGTGTGAATTTGATGGGTTCTTAAGGAAATCAAATCTGTGCCTTTTGTTTTTTTGGCACTGTGGCACTTGAACCAGCCATGCCAGCTGAACCAGCCATACCAAGAAGTGACTTAGCACTCGGAGATTATCATCTACTCACCCTATTCTAGAAAATAGAAAGCTGAGAAACAGCAGCTTCTCCAAGGGTAACCAACAAATTAAGAGGACTTTAAAAAATAGGTCGGTCGCAGTGGCTCAAGCCTGTAATCCCAGCACTTTGGGAGGCCAAGGCAGGACGATCACGAGGTCAAAGATCAAGACCATCCTGGCCAACATGGTGAAACTCCGTCTCTACTAAAAATACAAAAATTAGCTGGGCATGGTGGCATGCACCTGTAGTCCCAGCTACTGGAGAGGCTGAGGCAGGAGAATCACTTGAACTTGGAAGGGGGAGGTTGCAGTGAGCTGAGATTGTGCCACTGCACTCCAGCCTAAGTGACAGGGCAAGACACCATCTCAAAAAAAAAATAAAATAAAAATAAAACACACAGTCTCTTAGCCCCAGAGTCACCCTTACCATTGTTTACCTACTTTTTTACTTTTTGATGAATGATGTGCTTGTTAGTTCGTTTATCCAACAAATACTTAATCAGTGATTATTACACCTTAGGCAGTGTGTTATATATATACCATGGTGACAGTGTTGTAAAGGAAAAGAAATGAGAGTAAGGTACTTAGGTTAACTGAGGGGCAGGCCTTTTTTTTTTGAGACGGAGTTTTGCTGTTTTTGCCTAAGCTGGAGTGCAGTGGCACGATCTTGGCTCATTGAAACCTGCGTCTCCTGGGTTCAAGCGATTCTCCTGCCTCAGCCTCCCAGCTAGCTGGGATTACAGGCACATGCCACCAAGCCTGGCTAGTTTTTTGTATTTTTAGTAGAAGCAGGGTTTCACCATAATAGCCAGGCTGGTCTCAAATTCCTAACCTTAGGTGATCTGCCCTGCCTTGGCCTCCCAAAGTGCTGGAATTACAGGCATGAGCCACCACACCCAGCCAATTTCACTCTTATCTAAGTGTTCATGATCCTGGAAAGGACAAGTTAAGTGATTTTACATGCACAGATAAATTGGTGCTCCAGGTTAGGACGGAAGGGATATGCTGGCCTCCATATGACTGGAGACCACTTGGAAATAAAGGATCTGCAAGCAGAGAAACCTCCCTGCCCACTCTCCCATAGCATCCAAGAGAAGCCCTCATTATATAGGTAACAGCTTGTCCTAGAGAAAAGTCTTGACCTAGATTGGAATGTGACCTCTCACCGACCTTTGAAAACCTCTTTTGAGCTGGTCACAGTGGCTCACGCCTGTAATCCCAGCATTTTAGGAGGCTGAGGCAGGTGGATCACCAGAGGTCAGGAGTTTAAGACCAGCCTGTCCAACATGGTGAAAACCCATCTCTACTAAAAATACAAAAAATTAGCCGGGTATGGTGGCGTGCATCTGTAGTCCCAGCTACTTGGAAGGCTGAGGCAGGAGAGTCACCTGAACACTGGAGGCGGAGGTTGCAGTGAGCTGAGATTGCACCACTGCACTCCAGCCTGGGTGACAGAGCGAGACTCCGTCTCAAAAAAAAAAAAGAAACACCTTTTGAGGTTTGAGGTTGAGGATGTGGCTAAACTATGTCACAAACCAAAAAGTCAATGCATTTTTTTAGTTCCTTAGCTCAATTTCAATAATGGACAGTTTAGTGCTTCAAAGTCCCATTGCCTTCTTTTTGAAAAAAACTGACCACTGGGGAGTTGAAGAGCAGGCCTGGTTGCTTAGACTTCAAAGTAAAATCACTAAATAGGCAGGATGGGGCTGGAAGAAGTATTATGGTTGTTTGAGGGCAGTCTTGTTTTTTGGTTATTGTACTTACGTATTTTTAGAAATTATATGTGTGTCTGTATGTGCACACAATCTTCCAGCATATACCAATAGCTGAATTTGTAAAGTATCATGTAGTATTTGCATGTATATAGCTCTTTCTTCATCTGCTGTGTACAGCTGAAATTTTTTTCATGTCCTGGTAAAACCTTAAGTTGAGAATTATGGACTCACTAAATGTTAGACCAGATAGTTATTTAGAAAACAGTGCATGGGACTTGTTTAAGGGGCAGGAAGTATTAGGTGTCAACAATTCAAAACACTTTGTTTCTGTTTTTTTTTGTTTTGTTTTTTGTTTTATTTAAAAAAATTTTTTTTTTTTTTTTTTAAGACAGGGTTTCACCATGTTGGTCAGGCTGGTCTTGAACTCCCAACCTGAGGGGATCCGTCCGCCTTGGCCTCCAAAGTGCTTGGATTACAGGCATGAGGCCCACACCTGGCCAACACTTTGTTTCTTTTATGTACTGTTTTTGCCTCCAAAATGGTTTTCTATTCTTTTTTTTTTTTCCTTTTTTTTTTTTTTTTTTTTTTAGACGGAGTCTTGCTCTGTTGCTCAGGCTAAGTGCAATGGCACATGATCTTGGCTGACTGCAACCTCTGCCTCCTGGGTTCAAGTGATTCTTCTGCCTCTTGAGTAGCTGGGAATACAGGCAACTGCCATCACGCCCAGTTATTTTTTTTTTCTTTAGTAGAGATGGGGTTTCACCATGTTGGCCAGGTTGGTCTTGAACTCCCGACCTCGTGATCCACCAGCCTCAGCCTCCCAAAGTGCTGGAATTACAGGTGTGAGCCACTGGCCCAGCCACAACTTTCCTATTCTTGATCACATTTTATCCGTATTATAACCTAGAAAGTGAAATACACGGTATTATCCCCATTAATAGCTAGGGATCCAAACTTGCTTGCTGTCTTCCAAATGTGGGTTGCATTTTTCTGTTTCTTTCTTGTTACTCATGCAGTTTCCTTCACCTGAAATGCCCTCACTCAGAAACTCACTTGTCAAAATCCTAATCCTCTTTGAGGGCTAATAGAAGATTCTTTTCATTCCCTGAAGTTTTCTTTATTTTCCTGAACAGTTGCATCTCTCCCTCTTTTGAACCCCAGAGCATTTTGCCCTTCTTATTTGATTCATTTGGCAGTGATTTGTATACTCATGAATTCCCTCTATTGGACTGGGATTCCTTTTAAAAAAGGATTGTACCAGGGAAAAAAAAAACCCGCAACTACCACAGTAATAACTATATAACTAACGTCTCTTAAACCTTTTATGCAGACTCTATGCTAAGTACTTTGTCATTCAACATGCATCTACTTTGTGTAAAGTGCCTACAATGGCAGACATTGATTTAAGGGCTATACATTTTACATTATTTCACTTATGCCTCACAAAAAAACTAAATGCGGTAGATGTTATTTTTACCCCCATTTTACAGATGAGGAAACAAGCACAGAGCCTAGTGGATTAAATAAATTGCCCAATGCCACAAATTTAATAGGTGGCAAAGCTGGAATTTGAACTCCACCAGTCTGATTTAGAACCTGTGCTTGTCACCATTGCATGTCAAAGAATTTTCTCTCATTCCTTTCTTTTCACTCCCATTGCCAGGTCCTAGCAGAGTGTCTAATATATGGAAGGTCCTGATAATTACAGGATAAATGGAATTGAATGTAGAAGATGAAATCCAGAGAGATGGACTTTCCTAAAGTTATAGGGCTTGTTGGGATGAAAAATCTAGAATTTAAGTTGAACAGTCCCCAGCTCAGGCTATTTTATCTAGGCCACCTTGCTTATTTAAGGCATTTAGAGAAAGAGGAACCAGAGTAGCTATGAGCTCTGTTCATGTGAGGGTTCTGGTGCCTGTGGTAAAGAAGTTAAAGATATTGTCAGAAAATTCTTGTAGCATAGGAAGTTGTGACTGAGATGGCTCAAAGTGAAACAGAAAGCAAGTTGTGTAATCTCAGTATTTGTCAGGATTTTGCTTTTCCTGACTTGCTTTGCACAGAATGTTCCCTGGATGAAAGCCCAGAAATCGCCAACATTTCAGACAACGCTTTCTCAGCCTTACTGTATTCCATATTTCATAACAGGACCCCTACCATGGAGAAGACCGTTGAAGATCCCCCCACATCAGCTGTCTTGCTGGATGACTGTCATTTCTCTCAGGTCATCTTTAACAGTGTGGAGAAGTTCTACATCCCTGGAGGGGATGTCACATGTCATTACACCTTCACCCAGCATTTCATCCCTCGTCGAAAGGATTGGATTGGCATCTTTAGAGTAAGTGGTTAACTTAGGACCAAGTGATCAGGAACTAGAGGTGAATCTTACTTACCTGAGTGAGTGAATCTCTGTGTATTATAAGCATTTTGTATAATATGTATGGGCAATTTTTAAATCCTAGCCAAGCTCCACAGCATTTCTCTCTTCACACACTAACGTGTGCTCTAGGGCTCAAATTTTCATTTCAGTGTCAAGCTAAAATAAGATGGCAAATCATATAATCCTCAAATTTTATTATGCTTTCAAAGACCAAATATAAATGCTTTTTTGTTGTTGTTGAGATAGAGTCTTGCTCTGTCTCTCAGGCTGGAGTGCAGTTCACTGCAGCGTCAACCTCCCAGGCTCAGTGATACTCTCGCCTCAGCCTTCTGAGTAGCTGGGACTACAGGTGTGCAGAACAATGCCTAACTGATTTTTTGTTTTGTTTTGTTTTTGAGACAGAGTCTTACTTTATTGCCCAGGCTGGAATACAGTAGGGCAATCTTGGCTCACTGCAACACCCACCTCCCAGGTTCAGGTGATTCTCCTGCCTCAGCCTCCCAAGTAGCTGGGATAATAGGCACATCTACTATACCTGGCTAATTTTTGTATTTTTAGTAGAGAACAGATTTCACCATGTTGGCTAGGTTGATCTCGAACTCCTGACCTTGTGATCTGCCCACCTCGGCCTCCCAAATTAAATGCTATTTATTTATTTAGAGATGGAGTTTCGTTCTTATTGCCCAGGCTGGAGTGCAATGGCATGATCTTGGCTTACCGAAACCTCCGCCTCCCAGGTTCAAGCAATTCTCCTGCCTCAGCCTCCTGAGTAGCTGGGATTACAGGAATGCACCACCAACTAATTTTTGTATTTTTAGTAGAGACAGGGTTTCTCCATGTTGGTCAGGCTGGTCCCGAACTCCTGACCTCAAGTGATTCACCCGTCTTGGCATCCCAAAGTGCTGGGATTACAGGTGTGAGCCACCGCACCTAGCCATTAAATGCCTTTTAAATGATCTTATTTTGAAATATGTATGTATGACTTGACTGAGATGGTTGACCTCATACGTCATTTCTGAGACTAAACATTACTTCCTTATTTGGTATGGTGTTTAGTTTGTTTTGATACAAATACCACAAATCTGGAAAGGATATTGAGGATATTGACACCCTGCATCCAAAAAGTTTATTCCTCAATAAGTGTGTCGATTTATGATGATTTCCAAGGACTGAAATTTTATGAGCTCCCTTCATGACCTCTTCCAGTGTCTGGTCACCCCATCAGTTCAAGTACAGAATGGTATTTTTTAATTTTAATTAACTTACTCTCTATGTTCCCTTTGCCCTCCCATCCGTATCTGTCTCTCTCAAACATCCCACACATACCATAATGACAAATCTTCCTGTTTCCAGAGACAAGAAATAAAGGTCAAATTTAAGTAATTTACACTGCCAATTCCCAATGTCAGTGACCTTTGGTTTGACACCTCAGTCTGTCATGTGCCTGTTTGCCAGTGCTGTTCAATCTGAAATCAGACACTGTTCTCAACTACACTATGAAGGAGTTGCTTATTTATATCCTTCATTGAATTCCTTTTTCATAATTGTTTGGAACATCAAGTTTATTGATGGAGCAATGGGAGCTGGAGGTAACATGAGTGGTGTTTGGAGATAGGTATAGTGGCCAACCAGCAGGACACTGGCAAGTATCATGACAGCTGTTGAGACTGCAGGGTATCGAATCATGACACTAAAAGGTGTGCCAACACACCAGAGTGTTTTTTGTCTTATAAAGAAGATGGGAGTTGTTTTTCTTCTTCCCCATATGTAGCAAAGCACATAGGTCACATTGCCCGGTTAGAGTTTTCTGCAATGGAGCTGTAGCTTCACTGTCCAGTATAGTAACTACTAGCCATGTGTGACTGTTAAGCACTTGAAATGTGGTTAGTGTGACTGAGTAACTGGATTTTATTTTATTTATTTTTGAGACAGAGTTTCACTCTTGTTGCCCAGGCTGGAGTGCAATGGGCACAATCTCAGCTCACTGCAACCTCTACCTCCTGGATTCAAGCAATTCTCCTGCCTCAGCCTCCAGAGTAGCTGGGATTACAGGAATGCACCATCACACCTGGCTAATTTTGTATTTTTAGTAGAGACAAGTCTTCTCCATGTTGGTTAGGCTAGTCTCGACCTCCTGACCTCAGGTGACCTGCCTGCCTCAGCCTCCAAAAGTGCTGGGATTACAGGCGTGACCCACCGCGCCTGGCCCGAGTAGCTGAATTTTAAATTTTACTTAATGTTAATTAATTATAGTTTAAATAGCGTCATGTGGCTAGTGGCTAACATTGGTTAATGCAGGTACAAATCATGAAAAAGAGAATGATTCAAAAATTACTTACTAGGATTTTTCACCAGTTTGTCTTGGAAACATTTAAATGCCCAAGTCAAGGAGAGTATGAAACATAGGATTATACACTGAGGGAAAGAAAGCGACTCCTTCCTGCTTTAGGCTCCATCATCCTAAATTTATAAACTACATTTATGTAGTTTATAACGTGGTTTTTTTCTTTTTGCAACATTGTTATATTTCTGTTTTGCTTTGACTAGTTGTATTCCCCTAAGCACTTAGCAACTGCCAGTGAAGACTTCAGCATATACCATATAGAAATCTTGGGCTTTTTGGCCAGGTGCGGTGGCTCACCCTTGTAATCTCAGCACTTTGGGAGGCTGGGGAGGGCGTACCACAAGGTCAAGAGTTCAAGAACAGCCTGGCCAACGTGGTGAAACCCCATCTCTGCTAAAAATATAAAAATTAGCCAGGTGTGGTGGCATCCACCTGTAGTCCCAGCTACTCAGGAGGATGAGGCAGGAGAATTGCTTGAACCCAAGAGGCAGAGGTTGCAGTGAGCCAAGATTATGCCACTGCACTCCAGCCTGGGCAGCAGAATAAGACTCCATCTCAAAAAAAAATTTTTTTTTAAAAAGGATGCATTTATATTTGGAATGCTTCATATATTTCAGAGGTATTACCGTACCTCAATAAAGAAATAATGGTTAATCCGAAGAAGGGCTTCTAATGTTCATTGTCCATAAAGCTATTGAATTGAATACCTACCCTAAGGACACACTGTGCTAGGCCTTTGTTGGGGGGGGCGGGGTGGTGTGTGTGTGTGTATTCTCTAATTAAATCCTCACAGTGCAGTAGCCCCCTGAGATGGGTAGTAGTATCTCTTGGGCATAAGTAAGTAAAATGAATATCCTAGAGAGATGGTGACTTTCCCAAGGCCTCACAGTGAATAAGCCATGAAGCTAGTCTGGCTCCTAAACCTCTGCTTTTTTTTTTTTTTTTTTTTTTTGAGATGGAGTTTCCCTCGTTACCCAGGCTGGAGTGCAATGGCGCGATCTCGGCTCACCACAACATCCACCTCCTGGGTTGAGGCAATTCTCCTGCCTCAGCCTCCTGAGTAGCTGGGATTACAGGCACATGCCACCATGCCCAGCTAATGTTTTGTATTTTTAGTAGAGACGGGGTTTCACCGTGTTGACCAGGATGGTCTCGATCTCTTGACCTCGTGATCCACCCGCCTCGGCCTCCCAAAGTGCTGGGATTACAGGCTTGAGCCACCGTGCCCGGCAACCTCTGCTTTTTCTCCTCTACTCTGCTGAATTCCTTTGAGCAACAGATAGTAAATTAGAGAATGAAGAGTTAACTGTAAAGTTTCATTCTTCACATCTTTCCTCTAATGCTGTCTTCAGTGTTCCTTCAGTGTAGCCTTAATCGGACTATTCCACTCCTCATCACCCCAGACACTGGTAGTATCTGGCACCAGGGAGGCACTCAGTAAATGCTTTTATTTTTTATTTATTTTTAAAATTTATTTTATTTCGAGATAGACTCTTGCTCTATCCCCCAGGCTGGAGTGCAGAGGCGCAATCTGGGATCACTGTAGCCTCTACCTCCAGGTTCCAGTGATTCTTGTGCCTCAACCACTGAGTAGCTGGGATTACAGGCATGCACTACTGCGCCCGGCCAGTAAATGTTTTTAACACATACAACTACATTACATCTTCTCTATAGTGAAAGCTACCACCAGTGATGGAGCCTAAAGCAGGAAGAAGTCTGCTTTCTTTCCCTCAGCGTATAATCCTATGCTTCATACTGTCTTTGACTTGGGCATTTAAATGTATCCAAGACAAACTGGAACAAGGACTACTCAAACGCAGGAGCCAACGACAGAAATTGCAGGTGGCTAGAATTTGTTTTCCTGTTCCAAGGCAGCAATAATTCTTAGGCCTTCCCAATGATATTTTGGTCACAGTGCATTAAAAAAACTCCAGGATGTGAATGAGGACTCCATAAAATTCCTGCTTCCTGTACCACCACAGGCTCCAGTGGCTCTAAGATGCTTACAGCAATGGGGTGTGTATTAATGAGACTCTAAAACATGCCCTAGGATGTTCTGATGAGTTTTTGGTATAGCCTTTTCAACCCTGCTTTGATTCCTTAATATATAAAAATGGGATTTATTTTTAGTTCTCCTCTTACTGAGCTCAGGCAGGGTCAAAATATGGCAATAAATATAATTTTCCTTCTCATTTGCTGAGTGTTGTCCCCTTGAAGACACAATAGCTTCCTTTCTATTCTCTGGTGTGCTTTTATCTTCCAGATAAGATTCAAGCAATCTTTTACCCCCTTCATATTTGTGAGAATATTTTCCACTTAGCCAGCTTTCTGCTCTGAGGCATGTTTTGCTTCATCCTTATGTCTTATGATTTATTGTATTCAATACCTAGAAGAGGCTTTACGACTACCAGATTGTTGTTAATATTTTTATTACCAAAAAGCCGTCATTAAGCATGCATTATAAGAAACAGTAAAGAAAGAAAATTATATAGACCTGGAATCTCTTATCTGGTGCCTCAAAATCTAAGAACCCTGTTCTCCCTCTGCACCCAACACAGACCTTATAAAAGAGAATGCAGTTTTTTTTAATGCAGTGGTATATTCAGGTTGGTATATGACAAGGCTTAATTAGACACATTAGAAGACAAACCAATGGAGAGGGCAGCTCAGGAGTGCGTTCTGATTTAGAAGTCCAAAGAACGCCATTGTAAGAGGATCAGGGTTTATAATCCCAGAACTTTCCCCTCAAATCAATCTCAGCTCTCTCTGACTTATAGACAGAATTTTTGGAGCTCTTCTGGGTGATGAGGAACTAGTTTTCAAATCCTTCCAAGACTTGTTTTTTGAGCTGTGTATGTACACCCCAAATTTTGGTTGTATCAGACATTTTCCCATACGTAGTTGTCATAAATAAAAAATGAAATTAAAAATTAAAAACAAGCCAGGTGCAGTGGCTCACACCTGTAATCCCAGCACTTTGGGAGAACGAGGCAGGTGGATCACGAGGTCAAGAGATCAAGACCATCCTGGTCAACATGGTGAAACCCCGTCTCTACTAAAACTACAAAAAATTAGCTGGGCGTGGTGGCGCGTGCCTGTAATCCCAGCTACTCAGGAGGCTGAGGCAGGAGAATTGCGTGAACCCAGGAGGCAGAGGTTGCAGTTCGCTCCATTGCAGTCCAGCCTGGGTAACGAGCGAAACTCCGTCTCAAAAAAAATTAAAAACAAATTTGAGCCCTGGTGTGAGAATCTTGTCATAATGAACTCATTCTATTATATTTTCATATATACAAATAAAAAGTGGTTTTAAGAAGATGTAGCCCAATCGGGATTTTCCCCAGACTCCTTTCAGGTACTAAATAAGAACTTCTTGTCATTGCAGGTGGGATGGAAGACAACCCGTGAGTATTACACCTTCATGTGGGTTAATTTGCCCATTGACCTAAACAACGAATCAGCCAAACAGCAGGAAGTCCAATTCAAAGGTGAGAAGAATGCTGGATCAAAGGTGTTGAAGACAGTAGCCAAGACTAATTAATTCCCTTCAGCTTGAGCTTTCTGGGGCATATAAAAAGACTTCCAGAATGTTACTTTTCTGAATACATCTGGTTTTGGATTTAAAATTATGTTGTGTTTTCAGCTTACTACCTGCCCAAGGATGATGAGTATTACCAGTTCTGCTATGTGGATCAGGATGGTGTGGTCCGGGGAGCAAGTATTCCTTTCCAATTCCGTCCAGAAAATGAGGAAGACATCCTGGTTGTTACCACTCAGGTCTGTAAACTTCTCACCTCAATTCCTCACTGCCATTACAAGTAGCAATATAAGATAGGATGGAATGTGAGTCAATAAGACTTTATTGAATATCTCATGGATATCGTTGGAAAAAATTTATATAGTACTCACACAGACTCACTCAGGAATGTTAACAAGAATAATAACAATAAGTGATTTCTTCCTTCTCTAAAACTTCTTTAACTCAGCTAGCATTCAGTTATTCTTTTAACTTTTCCAGTTGCTTAATTTTTGTCATCTATACATCTTATCACCCCAGTTAATGTATAAGCTCCGTTGAGGAGAGAAACACCAGATATTCTCATCTCTTTCAGTTCTGGCACAGAGCCTATCTGTCATACATGAGTATTAGATTCATTTTCTTTTCTTTTTTTTTTAAAGACAGGGTTTCACCATGTTGGCCAGGCTGGTCTTGAACTCCTGACCTCAGGTGATCCGCCTGCCTCAGTCTCCCAAAGTGCTGAGATTACAGGCGTGAGCCACCACGCCCGGCCTAGATTCATTTTCTTCATCATTTAACAGGACACCTGCTCTTCATCCAGCACTATGGTAGGCACTGGGAACACTGGGAATAATCAGTTAAAACACTGTCCCTGGCCTCAAGGAGCTAAGTCCCTTGGGAGAGACAAACAATACCACTAAGTGTCTGCAAAAAGAAGCTACATTCCTGTACCACTGTCTCTTTTAACTTTTAATGGCTTTAATTTTTGCTTATCTTTCTTGGTAATGCTGCAATTATAAAGACACTTCCGTTATACCCTTACCTATGTATTAAGGAGCAGCCCCCATTTGGGGGGGACACAGATATCACTACAGTGAATGGGAATCAGCCAGACCCTCCCTCACCATCCTAACCTATGGGAATTTTCTGCTAGAGAGACTTGGAATATAGTTTATGGAATGTTCTTTTGTAGGGAGAGGTGGAAGAGATTGAACAGCACAACAAGGAGCTTTGCAAAGAAAACCAGGAGCTGAAGGACAGCTGTGTTAGTCTCCAGAAACAGAATTCAGACATGCAAGCTGAGCTCCAAAAGAAGCAGGTATGGCAGCTGGTTACAGGTGACCTTGGAGCATGGAGATCAGAATTAGATATGCCTCTTATCTAGCACTATATTCTGTTTTGCCTGTGATCTCTCCCTCTCATACCAATATCTTTGAACAGGCATCAGTTTTGTTTGTTTGTTTGGGACGGAGTCTAACTCTGTCACAGAGACTGGAGTGCAAGGGTGCAATCTCAGCTCACTGCAACCCCTGCCTCCCAGGTTCAAGTGATTCTCCTGCCTCAGCCTCCCGAGTAGCTGGGATTACAGGTGATTGTCACCACACTAGCCTAATGTTTGTATTTTTGTAGAGACAGAGTTTCACCGTGTTGGCCAGGCCAGTATTGAACTCCTGGCCTCAAGTGATCCACCCACCTCGGCCTCCCAAAGTGCTGGGATTACAGGCATGAGCCACTATGCCCAGCTGAATATCTCTTTTTAATTGTTTATATGTCGAAATGATATTTTAGCTATATTGGATTACATATACTATCATTTGGCCAGGTATGGTGGTTCACACCTGTATGGGAGGCCAAGGTGTGTGGATCACCTGAGGTCAGGAGTTTGAGACCAGCCTGACCAACATGACAAAATCCCATCTCTACTAAAAATATGGAATTTAGCCAGGTTTCGTGGTGTGTGCCTGTAATCCCAGCTACTCAGGAGGCAGAGGCAAGAGAATCGCTTAAACCTGGGAGGCAGAGGTTGCAGTGAGTCAAAATTATGCCACTGCACTCCAGCCTGGGCAACAGAGCAAGACTTTGCATATCTCAAAAAATATATATATATATACATACACACACACACACACACACACACACACATGCATGCACACACACTATTAATAAAATTCATGTTTCTTTTTACCTTTTTAAAAATGCGCCTACTAAGATTTTAAAATTATATGTGGCTCTCACTTATTGAACAGCACTGTTCTATGAAAAGGGCAATTTTGTCTATTTTGTCCACTGCTGTGTCTGCAGTGCAAGAACAGTGTCCAGTATGGAATAGGCTCTGAGTAAATATTTATTTAATGAACAAATTATAAGCTCCAGTGAAAAGAGAAATTAAGGTGATATATTTTTAATATAAAAAGAACACTTTGTGGCCGGGCGTGGTGGCTCATGCCAGTAATCCCAGAACTTTGGGAGTCTGAGGTGGGTGTATCACGAGGTCAGGAGTTCAAGACCAGCCTGGCCAAGATGGTGAAACTCCGTCTCTACTAAAAATACAAAAATTAGCTGAGTGGTACCTGTAATCCCATCTACCCAGGAGGATGAGGCAGAAGAATTGCTTGAACTCGTGTGGCAGAGGTTGGAGTGAGCCAGGCGATAGAGTGAGACTTCATCCCAAAAAAAAAAAGAAAGAACATTTTCATGTGGAAATCCTTTTATTTAAATATATCATTTACTGCTGTGTCATGCTCTGCCTGACATATAGTAAGTGCTCAATAAATATTTGTTGCCTGCCTAAGATATTCATGCAAAAGTGTCATAGAAATAGTCTGTCTCTTTGTTGATGTTGCAATCTGTAGGAGGAGCTAGAAACCCTGCGGTGCATCAATAAGAAGTTGGAACTGAAAGTGAAAGAGCAGGAGGACTATTGGGAGACAGAGCTGCTTCAGTGAGTGTGTCCCATAATTCTGGGAGGGGAAGAGCTGCTGTACCATCAATACCCTTAAGTGAGTGTGTCCCATAATTCTGGTAGGGGAAGAGCTGCTGTACCATCAATATCTTAAGATTAGCTGGGCACAGTGACTCACGCCTGTGATCCCAGCACTTTGGGAGGCCGAGGCAGGAGGATCATGAGGTCAGGAGTTCAAGAACAGCCTGGCCAATATGGTGAAACCCCGTCTCTACTAAAAATATAAAAATTAGCCAGGGGCGGTGGTGCGCACCTGTAGTTCCAGCTATTCAGGAGGCTGAGGCAGAAAAATTGCTTGAACCCGGGAGGCAGAGGTTGCAGTGAGCCAATCGCCACTGCATTCCAGCCTGGTTGACAGAGCGAAGATTCCGTCTCTTTAAAAAAAAAAAAAAAGGACAATCAGATTGGACTTCTGGAATTTGTGAGAAAACACTGTTATGACATCGATAGGTGTGATTCTCTGCCCCTTTGAATCGTGAATTAGAAAGTCAGTATCAAAATAGTCAGGAGAAATGATCTGATTTCAAATATTGCCTTTAGGGATTGAATACTTGCAGTTTTTTGGAGTCAGGAAGCCAAAACAGGACCGCAGTGGAGACTAGTAGATTTTTAAATAACTCTGCAGGGCTTAGGGCCAAGCCAGCCTTAAATCATTTAAGGCCAGGGGTAGCTGACCTGGAATCAGTGAATTTTTCACATAGTTATTTCCACCTCCACAGACTGAAAGAACAAAACCAGAAGATGTCCTCAGAAAACAAGAAGATGGGAATCAGAGTGGATCAGCTTCAGGTAGGTAATGTCATACCTTTGTCAAAGGATATTTTCTTAGCTTTGCCACCACTCCAATTTGGTGGCCTAGAAAAATGTATTTCATTGCAGTGAGTGGCTAATGGCATACTTTACAAAGTATCACACTAAAGTTTCAGGTTATGTATTTTCCATTCTTGGACGAAGTAAGCATCCACCTTATCCACACCCCCACTTTAAGAAAAAAAAAATCATGATTCGCAGCTGGGCATAGTGGCTCACGTCTGTAATCCCAGCACTTTGGGAAGCTGAGGCAGGTGGATCACTGAGGTCAGGAGTTCGAGATCAGCCTGGCCAATATGGTGAAACCCCGTCTCTACTAAAAATACAAAAATTAGTTGGGCATGGTGGGTACGCCTGTAATCCCAGCTACTGGGGAGGCTGAGGCAGAAGAATCATTTGAACTCCAGAGGCGGAGGTTGCAGTGAGCAGAGATTGCACCACTACCCTCCAGCCTGGACGACAGAGCAAGACTCCATCTCAAAAAAAAAAAAAAAAAAAAATCATGATTCACAAGGAACTTAGTGATTTGTTCATGTATTACTAAGCTAATTTACCATGAACTCTTAATATAGGTGACAGTCATCTATACCAATACTCAAACTTTAATCTTTTCAAACAAAATCGTACTCAAACGCCTGGAATATGAAGCAGATAGCAGAACTGCTCTCATTTTCAGGAAGCTATGCCTTAAAGAGGTGCTTTACAGAGTGGTTTGTCTAATTTTACTCAGTTGACCCTTAGATTCTTAGGCTATAAAGTTGAGCTGAAAAGTAAAGGAGTTCTACAGGATATTTGGCAGTTGGGAGTTGCTAGGGAAATGCATTTCTTTGTTATTGTACATTAAAAAGCATTGTTTCTGTTTTGTTTTCCTTCTTTTATATCTTGGTTATGCTCACTATTTTTACTTTAGGCCCAGCTGTCAACTCAAGAGAAAGAAATGGAGAAGCTTGTTCAGGGAGATCAAGATAAGACAGAGCAGTTAGAGCATCTGAAAAAAGAAAATGACCACCTCTTTCTCAGTTTAACTGAACAGGTAGAGTCACGGAAGAAAACAACACTTTTAGGCATTTGCAAGAAAATATATGTTGCTCTTTTTTTATCATATACCTGGGTATCACTGGCTCTAGGAAAGGTCTCAGAGAAAAGTCTAAAATGAGATAGCTCATGGCTTTCTTCAGAAACTGACAAGAGAAGACTTGGCTCTCTCTCTGCATCCTGCTTGCTCATTAGCTTAGCAGGCCCTTCCATGGTGTATATGTGCCTGTGTGTCTTCCCAGCAATGGTACTGAAATCTGTTTTTGCAGAGGAAGGACCAGAAGAAGCTCGAGCAGACAGTGGAGGCGATGAAGCAGAATGAAACTACTGCAATGAAGAAGCAACAGGAATTAATGGCATGTCTGTCTTTGGATGGTTACGTGGGAGGGAGCCTATATGAAGGAAGGGATATGGGCCTATTTTCAGGTGATGGACAGGATAAATAAGAGAGTGTTCACCTGTAGATGTTTTGCTTTCCAGCCAAAAGAACAGAGAATCTGCCATTTACAAAATGTTTAGAAATGGGCATTTCTAATGTGTGATAAGTGATAAAGGAATATTGCCAGTTAAACTTCATGACAAGATGTAACTAGATCCTTGGACTAGGGCTCACAGAATAACCCCTGCCCTCTTCTTACAGAGTTACAGTGAAGGCAGACTATAAATGAATAGTTATAAAGGGCTCTATGACAGCAAAATATACCCCTCAAAGCAAATCTTATTATAATTAATATATCAGCAATTATAATCATTATCAATTATGTAGGATGAACGCCTAACTGACTAATAATTTCCTATAACATCTTGTTGAAAAAGAGGCCTAATGGTGCTGACAGGTGCCTGGAAGTCCTATGTACTTAGTTGATCCAAGAACATGAGAAATCCTGATGCCTGAGAGATATCCAGCCACTGGGATTGCAATTCACATCACATAAGCATCATTCAGTCATTAAGTATCTACTGTATCTAAGATACTGTATGCTTTAGTATGATATAGGAAGACTAGAACAAAGCAGATCACAGGTCAAGGTCAGACAACAGAAATGTTTTAAAAAGTAGTTACCAACATTTAAAAATAGGAGTATTTTCCACAGAAATTTGTATTTCCAGCTTCCTTTGGGAAATGAGAGGACCTAGCAACGTTGAGCCCACATTCCTGTGCAGTGGCAATAGCTAGAGCCAAGTAGCTGCTGTGCCCTGGAGATGGGTCATGAGTTCTCCATCTAGCTGCAGTCTGCACTGTTTTTTTGGATTCAATTCCTTCATTTGATTACATATCTTGCCTGGTCTTTATAAGCACATTCCAGTTTGTGACCTCTGATATAGCAAAGAAATTACTGAGTTGTTTTTTCTTTTTTTTGAGACAGAGTCTCGCTCTGTCGCCCAGGCTGGAGTGCGATTGCACCAACTCAACTCACTGCAGCCTCCGCCTCTCAGGTTCAAATGATTCTCCTGCCCCAGCCTCCCAAGTAGCTGGGACTACAGGAGCACACCACCACACTCGGCTAATATTTTTTTGTATTTTAGTAGAGATGGTGTTTCACTGTGTTGGGCAGGCTGGTCTCAAACTCCTGAGCTTAGGCAATCCACCCACCTTGGCCTCCCAAAGTGCTGGGATTACAGATGTGAGTCACCGCACCTGGTCAAAATTCTTGTTTTAAATAATCTGTAGTCCCGGGCAGGTGTGGTGGCAATTGCACTCCAGCCTGGGTGACAGAGCGAGACTCCATCTCAAAAAAAGAAAGAAAGAAAGAGCCGGGCGCGGTGGCTCACGCCTGTAATCCCAGCACTTTGGGAGGCCGAGGCGGGTGGATCACGAGGTCAAGAGATCGAGACCATCCTGATCAACACGGTGAAACCCCGTCTCTACTAAAACTACAAAAAATTAGCTGGGCATGGTGGCGCGTGCCTATAATCCCAGCTACTCAGGAGGCTGAGGCAGGAGAATTGCCTGAACCCAGGAGGCGGAGGTTGCGGTGAGCCGAGATTGCGCCATTGCACTCCAGCCTGGGTAACAAGAGTGAAACTCCGTCCCAAAAAAAAAAAAAAAAAAAAGAAAGAAAGAGAGGAAGAGGGGAAGAGGGGAAGGGAGGGAGGGAGGGAAGGAATCAAGGAGGTAATCAAAGAAGGAATCTATAGTCATTCAAAAGTTTGAACCTGGCTGGGGTGCCTGACCTGATCTCAGCTCACTGCAGTCTGCTCCTCCTGGGTTCAAGCTATTCTCCTGCTTCAGCCTTCTGACTAGCTGGGATTACAGTAGCCTGCCACCAAGCCTGGCTAGTTTTTATATTTTTAGAAAAGACGGGGTTTCACTGTGTTGGCCAGGCTGGTCTTAAACTCCTGACCTCAGGTGATTCACCTGCCTTGGCCTCCCAAAGTGCTGGGATTACAGGCATGAGCCACCCCACCCAGCCAATTTTCTGGATTTTCATGGAATATTTTTCAAGACCTAGGGGCTCCCCACCTGACTGATAGCAATCCCAATTCCTCATACATCCTAAAAAGTCGCTAACTCTGAGGACTGTGTATCTTATGCTTCAGGAGCCTAGGAGCAAGAAAGCAGCACTAACTGTGGAGGAGCAGTTAGCACGAGAGGTGGAACGCCTAAAGGCAAAGGTAGAGGCCGGGAAAGCCTGTTTCTTAGAGAAGTACAAAGAGTGTCAACGACTTCACAAACAGATCAGGCAACTCAGGGCGGCTGCACTGGTAGGTGACAGAGAGAAGGGGCCCAGGAAAGCAAGGGGTGTGAAGGTCAGTGGTTCTTAGACCAAGCCCAGAAGATTGTACACCCTTGCTAAGGAGAGAAATTTATCTTTCCACTAAAAACAGGGATGTAGTGTGTGGCCAGAAACTAGCATGGAGGTTCCTAGAAATATAGGCCCCAACTTAGCTACAGGTCTTAGGGAAGGTTTTTGTAACTATCAAGCAGGTTTCTGTGCAGACTCAGAGAGCCTTTCTTATTTCTGCCTTTTGAGGAAGTGAAGCAGGACCAGAAGAGCCAGCAGAAGCCAATGGGGATGGGAAGCAAGGAGTCTGCAGTCAGCACTGTCACCGGGTAGCCCCCTCTCGCATTACTACCTCAGGGTCGGCTAGACGCGCACAGCAGTTTGGGCACCGGCATTCAAATAAAAAATCTGGCATCAAAAACCACAACTAGTAGGCTTAGCTTAAGTGTGTTTGTGAGGTATGCGCATGTGTATGTATGTATGCAGGCAGAAGATGGGAAGAAGCACTGAAGCATGAAACCAGTTAGGTCAACCCATCACATGGGGATGCCCAAGACCCCAGTCTGGGCTGCTTGTATTTTTGGACAAATGCCTTCCTGTGTTCCCTCTTCCTTCATGTAGCTTGAGCCCAGATGCCTATTCCTCACACTGTAGGAAGGAATCACACCAACTCAAACCTAAGTGCTTCAGGCTTCATTGAGTGAGATGTTTATTGAAAACAAAGATGATTGTTTTCATGGTTGGGTGGGATTAAACAAGGCTTCATTTATCCCTAATTCTGATAAGTCAGTCTTGAGATTTTCCCCAAGCTTGCTTTTTCTCTCATTGGTCACTTACACCCTCAGCTAAATTAAAAAAAAAAAAGTGCCGGGCGCGGTGGCTTAAGCCTGTAATCCCAGCACTTTGGGAGGACGAGGCGGGTGGATCACGAGGTCAAGAGATCGAGACCATCCTGGTCAACACGGTGAAACCCCGTCTCTGCTAAAAATACAAAAAATTAGCTGGGCATGGTGGCGCGTGCTTGTAATCCCAGCTACTCAGGAGGCTGAGGCAGGAGAATTGCCTGAACCCAGAAGGCGGAGGTTGCGGTGAGCCGAGATCGCGCCATTGCACTCCAGCCTGGGTAACAAGAGCGAAACTCCGTCCCAAAAATAAAAATAAAATAAAAAAGTAAACTGGCATCTTGATGCCAGCTCAGACCTTCAGGCGTTTTTTTAAGTCACTTTTCTTGATTTCAGCACCCTGCCCATAGTACCATTTCTTCCTCCCAGTTGCCTTCTCCATCTCAGTCTCCCCGCTTTGGAAGGCCAGATCCTCTAAAATTTCCCACCTTGTACTCAGACTGCAATATGTGATCCTAATCCTATTTTTTTTTTTTATTGTTGACAGGATGAAAACTTTGACCTGTCAAGAAGACTGAGTGAGAACAAAATGATATGTAATGTTCTGCAGAGAGAGAAAGAGAGATTAGAAGGAGAAAATGATGTAAGTGTGTTAAAGAGGGTAGAAAATCCCAAGATTTTAAGGGGAAGGAGCAGGATGGCCCCTAGTGATAACAATAAAAAGTTAAGTAAAGCGCCCTTTCTGGGACAGTGGGTGAAACGGTTATTCCTAAACAAAGTAAATTTAATCTGATTTCCTAACTTATCACAAAACCCTGTCTTTATTCTATAACTGAAACTTGTTTGGCATAGCAATAGTCACCTTGGAAGAAGCCACACTGACAAAGACCTAACTTATTTTTGCTTTTAACTTCACAGCTAACATTTGTTGCCTTGGGGGATAGGGGAATAGCATCCTACATAACTTTTATTCTAGTGGGGAAATACTTCCCTTCAGCACAACTTTTTCATTTTTCTCTGCTGCCGAACCAGGAGCAGAAGTGGTGGTCCGTACCAGTGCTGGACACATGGTAGGCCCCTAATAAATGCTGTGCATTCATTCATTCATTCATTGGTTCATTCACTCATTCATCCAACCAAAATTTATTATCTCCTGTGTGTTAAACATTTATTATTGATTGACTGAAGATGATATGGCAGCAAATAAAGTGGTTGTACTTAAAGTCAAGGTCATTCTCATTTTCTTTCTTTTTTTTTTTTTTTTTTGTTGTTGTTGTTGTTTTTGAAACAAGGTCTCACTCTGTCACCCAGGCTTGGAGTGCAGTGACACAATCTCGGCTCACTGCAGCCTTGATCATGTGGGCTCAAGTGATCCTCCTGCCTCAGCCCCCTCCCAAGTATCTGGGACTATAGGCATATGCCACCATGCCCGGCTAATTTTTTTTTCATTTTTAGTAAAGACAAGGTCTTGCTATGTTCCCCAAGCTGGTCTCAAAGTCCTGGACTCAAGTGATCCTCCTGCTTCAGCCCCAAAGTGCTGGGATTATAGACATAAGCCACCATGCCTGGCCCATTATCATGTTCTTGCTCAGCATCAAATAGGTGTCCATGCATTCTGGCTGCTACTCTAAACTTCCATCAATTCTTAATCTTTTTTTTTTTTTTTTTTTAGAGATGAGGTTTCACCATGTTGGTCAGGCTGGTCTCGAACCCCTGACCTCATGATCCGCCTGCCTCAGCCTCCCAAAGTGCTGGGATTACAGGCGTGAGCCACCATGCGCCCAACTTTTTTTTTTTTTTTTGCAATGGAGTCTCTCACCTGTTGCCCAGGCTAGAGTGCAGTGGCATGATCTCAACTCACTCCTCCACCTCCCCATCTTTACTCTCTATAATCTTTCTGGGTTGTGCCTCCTAGTAATCATTTTTACTGTTTGTTTTTTTTTTTAATTGCAGTTAAAATACACAGAATTTGCCATCTTAATAATGTTAAAGTGTACAGTTCAGTAGAGTTAAGTACATCACAGTGCTATGCAACAGATCTCCAGAACTTTTCCATCTCGAAACATTGAAATTCATACCTACCAAATGCTAATTCTCCCTCAATTTCTACTTTTGATTATATCAGTTATGCCAGTGTGTTTCATAATTGCAGAAGGCCTTTTGGGTTCTGTTTCTATTTGTTGTTTCTAGTCTTGTCATTCCCATTCTCTGTTTTTTTTCATTTTTTAGACCTAGTCTCACTCTGTCATCCAAGCTGGAAGGCAGTGGTGCCATCTCGGCTCACTGCAATCTCAGCTCACTGCAACCCCCGCCTCCCAGGTTCAAGCGATTCTCCTGCTTCAGCCTCCCAAGTAGCTAGGATTACAGGCACAGACCACCACACCCAGCTAATTTTTGTGTTTTTAGTAGAGAGGGAGGTTTCACCATGTTGCCTAGGCTGGTCTCGGACTCCTAGGCTCAAGCAATCCACCCACCTCAGCCTCTGAAAGTGGTGGGATTACAGGCATTAGCCATGGTGTCTGACCTATTCCCATTCTCTTAATTTAGATAAGTATACCTTGAGTTTGAAATCCCTGTTTTCCTGGGTTGGTTTGATGTTGGGGGGGCAGGTGCACACACAGCTTGTGAAACAAAGGGAAAGATCTGGTATTTAGAAGCTTTGTTTTTGTTTTGTTTTAAAAAAATATATTACTGTAATCCCAGCACTTTGGGAGGCCGAGGCGGGTGGATCACGAGGTCAAGAGATCGAGACCATCCTGGTCAACATGGTGAAACCCCGTCTCTACTAAAAATACAAAACATTAGCTGGGCATGGTGGCACGTGCCTGTAATCCCAGCTACTCAGGAGGCTGAGGCAGGAGAACTGCCTGAACCCAGGAGGCAGAGGTTGCGGTGAGCCGACGTCGCACCATTGCACTCCAGCCTGGGTAACAAGAGCAAAATTCCGTCTCAAAAAAAAAATATATATATATATTAAATATAAAGACGGGGTTTCACCATGTTGGTCAGGCTGGTCTTGAACTCCTGACCTCAGGTGATCCGCCTGCCTTGGCCTCCAAAGTGCTTGGATTACAGGAGTGAGCCACCATGCCTGGCCAAAAGCTTTGTTAAGAACTGTAGTGAAGCCCTCTTAAGATAATAAGGGAAATTTATTTTCTTTTTCCTAAGGAAAAAGAAATGATGTCTGTGCCACTTTTAGTAATTTTTTTTCTCTTTTTCATTACCTCCCTCCCACCCTGCCTTCTTACTCTCATACTCTCTGTTGGTATATCCACTTGAATGGGATAAGACATGAAGAAGGAAAAATTATTTCAGACGAATATTTACATTGTGTAAGAAATTAGTCTAGGAAGGAAATTGAAGAAATATTCTGCTCTCAATAACATATGACACCGGGAGGCCAAGGCAGGAAGGTCATTTGAAGCCAGGAGTTAGAAACAGCGTGGGCAACAAAATGAGAGCCTATCATCTCTACAAAAAAATTAAAAATTAGCCAGGTGTGGTGTTGTATGCCTATAGTTCCAGCTACTAAGGAGGCTGAGGTGGGAGGGCTGCCTGAGCCCATGAGTTCAAGGCTGCAGTGAGCTATGATCTCACCCCACACTCCAGCCTGGGTAATAGAGCAAGACCCTGCCCCTAAAAAAATTAATTTTAGGCCAGGCGCAGTGGCTCACACCTGTAATCCCAGCACTTTGGGAGACTGAGGCAGGTGAGTCACGAGGTCAGGAGATTAAGAACATCCTGGCCAACCTGGTGAAACCCCATCTCTACTAAAAATACAAAAATTAGCTGAGCATGATGGTATATGCCTCTAGTCCCAGCTACCTGGGAGGCTGAGGCAGGAGAATCACTTGAACCTGGGAGACCGAGGTTGCAGTGAGCTGAGATCACACCATTGCACTTCAGCCTGGTGACAGGGCAAGACTCTGTCTCAAAAATAAATGAAAATAAATAAATTTAACAATAATAATATACAACAGTTTCATTGTTAATATATCTATTAGAATAGTTTCAATGTTAATATGGTTCCTGCCACTTTCACATATCCACACATTTGTTCCTCCCTTTAGTTAGCATGTATTTAGAGATTTAAAATTATTTTTTGTATTAATATAAATAAAATTTAGTAAACATATCTAAATTCGGGTATAGACTGGGCACAGTGGCTCACACCTATAATCCTGACACTTAAGGAGGCCAAGGCGGGCAGATCACTTGATGTTGGGAGTTCAAGACCAGCCTGGCCAACATAGCAACATGGTAAAACCCCGTCTCTACTAAAAAATACAGAAATTAGCCAGGTGTGGCGGTGGGTGCCTTGTAATCCCAGCTACATGGGAGGCTGAGGCATGAGAACCACTTGAACCTGGAAGACAGAGGTTGCAATGAGCTGAGATGGTGCCACTGCACTCTGGCCTGGGAGACAGAGGAGACTCTAACTCGAAATAAATAAAAAAACAGATAAATTGATAAATAAATAAATTTAGGTATAAAGAACTTAGATCTTTGGAATATTGAAACTGCTGCTTTCCCTTCTGAAGAATTCTGGATTATCAATTATTGAATTTCTTCAGTGCCACATTGCTAATTGAAAACTATCTGGGAGAGGCCAGTTCCTGGTGGCTGTTCTTGTTATTGTCTTTCAACATGTCTATAAATCCACTATCCTTAGCTTTTGCAGAGGGAGAACACCAGATTGCTCAGTTACATGGGTCTGGATTTTAATTCTTTGCCGTATCAAGTACCTACTTCAGATGAAGGAGGCGCAGGACAAAATCCAGGACTTGTCTATGGAAACCCATATTCTGGTAAGACAACTTTCCCATTCTAACTGGAAGGACCCTGCCTGCATCCCTTTCCCCTACTCAATTTTTGTTTCTGAGATGCTAATTAAGACCAGTCTCATTGTTAAGACTTGCTGGGCAGAAGCTGAGGACCCAATAGAAAGATTGCCAGGCGAGAAGTGTTAATTGAGAAATAAATCTGAATCCAGAAGACACAAATCAGATCATTCGCCTAGAGGCAGCAGACACAAATTGAGTCCCGTGGCTATATTCCAAATGTGTAAATCAGGGAAATGTCTTTATGCAGAAGATATACACATACAAAGCTGAGGAAGCTAATTAAGGTTTTGAAATGGTAGCAAGAGAGGCAAGTTACGCCGTCCAGGAACGGGTGGTTACAGCAGCCACCCTGATGGCCTGACCAAGGGCAGCAGAAACAGGCTCCACAGAGACTTCTCGGTGATAGGACAGGAAATGGGGGTGAAAGGATTTGGGGTAACATGTCCTTGCCAAATAGAGAGCTTTTCTCACTTGCCTCCAAAAGCAATATGAGATCTCATTTGCTTTTTTGAGCAGTTTAAAGCAGCAGTATTATCTTTAGAGTCACAACCAGAAGTTTATAACAGACAATGAAAGAAGTTTATTTTTCTTTAAAAATATGTTTGTGGCTAGCTGGGATTACAGGCGCCTGCCACCATGCCCAGCTAATCTTTGTATTTTTAGCAAAGACAAGGTTTTACCATGTTTGCCAGGCTGGTCTTAATCTCCTGACCTCGTGATCCGCCCGCCTGGGCTTCCCAAAGTGCTGAAATTATAGGCATGAGCCACCACACTCAGCCCAGTCTGTTTTTACATATAATTTTTTTTTAATTCTCTCTAGTTTTTTTGTTTTGTTTTTGAGACAAGGTCTCCCTTGGTTGCCCAGGCCGGAATGCAGTGATACTATCTTGGCTCACTGCAACATCCCGGGCTCAAGCAATCCTCACCTCAGCCTACCAAGTAGCAGAGACTACAGGCAGCAGCCACCATGCCCAGCTAATTTTTGTGTTTTGTGTATAGATGGGGTTTTACCATGTTGCCCAGGCTGGTTTCGAACTCCTGAGCTCAAGCAATCCACCCACCTTGGCCTCCCAAAATGCTGGGATTATAGGTGTGAGCCATTGCACCTGTCCGTGGATACAGTCTTAAAATCTATTCTAAGACTGTCATTAAATTGTTACTATTTTTCAGGCCGGGCGCGGTGGCTCAAGCCCGTAATCCCAGCACTTTGGGAGGCCGAGGCAGGTGGATTACAAGGTCAAGAGATCGAGACCATCCTGGTCAACATGGTGAAACCCCGTCTCTACTAAAAATACAAAACATTAGCTGGGCATAGTGGCGCGTGCCTGTAATCCCAGCTACTCAGGAGGCTGAGGCAGGAGAATTGCCTGAACCCAGGAGGCGGAGGTTGCGGTGAGCCGAGATCGCGCCATTGCACTCCAGCCTGGGTAACATGAGTGAAACTCCGTCTCAAAAAAAAAAAAAATTGTCACTATTTTTCTTAAAATTTTATTTTCCCTACTCTGAAGATAGCTTTTTTTTTTTTTAACTGTATAACATATATATATATATATATATATACACACACACACAGCTAATGAAAATACAATTTCAGGCTGCGTGTGGTGGCTCACTCCTGTAATCCCAGCACTTTGGGAGGCTGAGGCAGGCGGATCACTTGAGGTCAGGAGTTCAAGACCAGCCCGGCCAACATGGAGAAACTGTGTCTCTACTAAAACTACAAAAATTTGGCCAGGCTCAGTGGCTCATGCCTGTAATCCCAGCATTTTGGGAGGCCAAGGCGGGTGAATCACCTGAGGTCAGGAGTTCAAAACCAGCCTGGCCAACATGGTGAAACCCCGTCTCTACTAAAAATACAAAAATTAGCTGGGCACAGTGGTAGGCACCTGTAATCCCAGCTGCACAGCAGGCTGAGGCAGGAAAATGGCTTCAACTTGGGAGGCGGAGGTTGCAGTGAGCCGAGATCATGCCATTGCACTCTAGCCTAGGCAACAAAGCAAGACTCCGTCTCAAAAAAATATATACGATTTCATTATTTGTGTTTTCTTTTCACCCTATCATTGACCTAGATCCACTCTATGAGAAGTAAGTGGTATACATATGAGAGAGAAAGAATCAGAGGCAATGGGGAGAAAGGGAACAATAAAAAGTGCAGGAAATATCTGCCAGAACACAGTTGGAGAAGCTAGGGATGGTATTTTTTCATTGAATGAGATCTTTCTGATTCTTTTCAGGTATCCAAGAAAGTTCTTCCCCAAGCTCAGTGAGTATTTGATTCATGAGAATATTCCCACCAAGCCTTTGAGAAAATTTCCCTTCCTGCTCCAGTTCATGAGAGAACCATAGGGAGATGGGTTCGTTTTGATAACTCCAGAAGTCAGCTGGATCAATTTGTTCTGGGCCCAAGGCTGAGCCAGCCTGTTGTGGAAGGGGAAAGAAAGCACAGTTCATCCATCAGCATTTTGCTTAGGATCTATACCTTTGAGTTGTTTGGTAGCATAAGCAGGGAGGAGATGTGAACCAGGCAGCTAGCCAAACAAGTTATATCCAGTGCCCCACAGGCTAGAAGCTGTATTGGCTGCTTCAGCAATATTAGGCCCTTTCAATTCTGGGGTTAAAGGAAGCCCTGGTGAGTATCTCCAAATGTGCATTCTCTTCATTTATTCACTATTTCTTGAACGCCTAACCATGTGCCAGTCATTATGCTAGGCACTGAGGATACAGTGGAAGACAGGACGGCCACATCTGTGTCACATATAGCTTACATTTGTACTGACCTCTTTGCTCTTCCTCCCAGCTCTCCATCAAGAAATGCCCCATCTGCAAAGCAGATGATATTTGTGATCACACCTTGGAGCAACAGCAGATGCACGCCCTTTGTCTGAATTGTCCAATTTGTGGCAAGACCTTCCCGGCAAGAGAGAAGCAGATCTTTGAAGACCACGTGTTCTGCCACTCTCTATGAGCATCCCAGCCTCTTGGATATATACAGAGATTTTATAGAGTAGAACCTATAGCTTCTACCATGAGTTATATGAGTCAAGGTCCTGCCTAACCTGAAATTACTAGAGATTTACTCAGCCCTGCTGCCACTAACAGTGGAGTCATGTCACTTATCTGAAGGACACTGTTAAGAGCTTCTGGTGCCATCCTGTGGGTTACTACCTTTAAGTCACATAACTTTAGCTGTATCATCCTCTCACCTATCATTCTTCCAGGGGTCTTCAGTACAAGGTCCCTGAGATGGAGCCAACCTAGGTATTCACAACAGGCCTGACTTGACACTAAATCATTAGTTTTCCAAGTTGTCCCACTGCCATTCAGGGGCAGGCCTTGAGTGTATTTGTTCTCAGTCCTAACCCTGGAGCCAGCGATTGGTCCGAGGTTGAGAATTCCTTTCTCCTCCTCCTCCTCACTGTTGCTTTCTCCAACTGATTGCTTTAGACTAGCCAAAAATGGCACAGCAAAGAGCTCAGAAGTCCAATTTGGATACCAAAGCTTTCTCATGTAAATTTCTCCGCCCCAAAAGAAGCATCTTATTCCTGAACCTTAGACAGGAATTATTTCAGTCACAGAAAGCTTTTCTGGGTACCTCTGGTTAACATTTTCTACTCTCTGATCTTTCCTATGTACATAACTTTTATTGTTATAAATTTTTTCTTAATGGTTAAATAGGGATTGTTAGAAACTATGGGTTTGCAGTTTTCTGAGCAGGTGAGTTTTGAATATGGATAAGTCAGAATAATGAGACAACTATTGTTAATCACTTTAATACTAAAAATAAATTACTCTTCTGTTTCAGGGACTTAGGTAACTTAAAATAAACCTTCAGTTTATGGCCTTTTATTTTGAAGCTTATGGAAAAATTGTGATCAAAAGGACTGTGGGAAGGGCAGACACCACCAGTGATTTCTCTTCACCTGTCTTAAATATTAAACAAAAAAGAGTGTCCTGGCAGTTACCTTAAGGTGGGGAAGGAGGTGATAAAACATCAGTTTGTGAAATCCGGGGCCCTGGCTTTTTTTTGAGAGAGTCTCACTCTGTTACCCAGGCTGGAATGCAGTGGCGCAATCTTGGTTCACTGCAGCCTCCGCCTCCCAGTTCAAGTGATTCTTGTGCCTTAGCCTCCTGAGTAGCTGGGATTACAGGTGTGCACCACCTTACCCAGCTAATTTTTATATTTTTAATAGAGATGGGGTTTCACTGTGTTTAGCCAGGCTGGTCTCAAACTCAGCCTCATATCATTCGTCCACTTCAGTCTTCCAAAGTGCTAGGATTACAAGCGTGAGCCACCATGCCCAGCCTGAGGCCCTGACTTCTTGCTATAGCTTTCTATGCATTTTTTTAATTTTTTTTTTTTTTTGAGATGGGGTCTCACTATGTTGCCCAGGATGGAGTGCAATCCCACTATTGATCAGCACGGGAGTTTTGACCTGCTCCATTTCCAACCTGGGCTAGTTCACCCCTCCTTAGGCAATCTGGTGGTCCCCTACTCCCAGGAGGTCACCATATTGATGCCGAACTTAGTGTGGACACCCGCTTGGCATAGCGCACTATAGCCCAGAACTCCTGGGCTCAAGTGATCCTCCCACCTCAGCCTCCCAAGTAGCTGGAACTACAGACATGCGCCACCAAGCCTGGCCCATGCATTTTTTTTTTTTAAAAGGAGCAATGTGGATTTTGGCACCCTTTGTGAACTAAGTTGAATGCCCTCTGTCCAAATTTGCCTAATTTATAAGAAAGCAATAATTCCATTTTCTCTCCCCTCGGGGACTGAACAAATGGAAATGACTCCCAGGCAATACAACTGGTCACTATAGAGACTTTTTTTTTTTTTTTTTTAAGATGGGGTTTCGCCATATTGGCCAGGCTGGTCTTGAACTCCTGACCTCAGGTAATCCACCCACCTCGGCCTCCCAAAGTGCTAGGATTACAGGCATGAGCCACTGCGCCCAGCCTCACTATAGAGACTTCTACAAAAACTTCTGAATGATGTGAAACACGATGTCATGAATAAGGGTTGAACCAACTATAGCTTGTGTTCCTACTGGGCTTTCCCTAATGTGGTTGGGAGTTATGCCCTAGACTATATATTGTCATAGTCACAGCTCCTTGCTTTGATTTCATCCTTGATAAAATGAAAATGAAACTTATACTACTTCTCCAAGCCTTTTGCCACCTTAAGAATGACATGTGACATTAACACTAACCCTAGAATAGAAATATAATAGGGAGATGGCAATAAAAGAGTTTTTCTGGCATATACCCTCCCTGCAGAATTTCTGTTGCTCCCCAGATAGTTCCAGTGAAGAATTGCAGTTTCATTTATTTTGTACTAGTCAGCTTTTAATTAAACACATGAATGGAGAGGAGCAGTGGTGCACATAATCCAAATCAGTGAATACCATTTTCTGGTGAATTACCCACCCCTTTGCCCCTGCTACCCTGAGGGTTACCATGATTATCAATAGCAGCAGGAGCCCTTCCAGGGGGCTTGGTTAAAAAAAAAAAAAAACAGTTTAGGTGTTAATGACCCTTTTTTCTGGGTGTAAAACAAAGCATCTTTAACCACTGTTCATTATCCCCAGCTGCTCTTACCAAGGCTTTGGAGGGGGAAATTATGCTCCAGGCAGCCCCTAGTAGTAAACAATAGTTCTTGTATAACCCACTGCCCACCCTGGCCTTCCTCCATCCCCCTTGCACCCACACATTATAAAGCTGTAAAATACTTGCAAAAAATAGGAAGTTATGGGAGCGAATAGTATATATCTGAGTTGGATTTTTGAATCTTTGTACTCATTATGGCAACAGGTTTTCCTTCCTAATTTGTTTTCTCTTGGTCTAATATTAAAATGTTTTCGCATTACCTTAGCATGCTTACTGGATGGGCAGTAAAGGGAGAAAAAAGTCACCCTGGCACACGTGAGTGTGAAAGAAGCTAACTTAAAAGGAGGCCAGGCATGGTGGCTCATGCCTGTAATCCCAGCATTTGGGAGGCTGAAGTGGGTAGATCACTAGGCCAAGAGTTCAAGACCAGCCTGGCCAAGATGGTTAAACCCCGCCTCTGCTAAAAATACAAAAAAATGAGCCAGTGTGGTGGTGGGCCCCTGAATTCCCAGCTACTCAGGAGGCCAAGGCAGAGAATTGCTTGAACCCAGCATGCGGAGGCTGCAGTGAGCAGAGATCGTGGCACTGCACTCCATCCAGCCTGGGCGACAATGAGACTCCCTCTCAAAAAAAAAAAAAAAGAAAGAAAAATCAAAAAAAGGAGAGTTGGCAAGATATTTGGTAAACTTAGGCCCTTAACACCTATAGCATCAGCCCTTTTCCCTGGTCTTGCTAAAAATGGGGATGAAATATGTCTGCCTTGATGTTCAAATATAATTCTCCTATGATATGGTTTTCTGTGGTGGCAGTGGCTTACCCTGAGCTAAGCATACTCTAACTTAGTCTCCTAGCAACAAATGTGGATGAAATATGGATGCAGTCCATTACCGAGGAGAAAAGCAAAATGGACTCTACAAAGAGACGAGACCCAAAGAGATACTCACCTGAGTGCCCTGAGTTAACCAACAATAGGCCGTATAAGCTCAGGGCAGTTACACTGGCCTCAGTCCTCTCCTTAGTTGACCTCATACAAATATTAAAAAGTCTTTAGGGCCAGGCTCTGTGGCTCACATCTGTAATCCCATCACTTCGGGAGGCCAAGGTGGGCAGATTACCTGAGGTCAGGAGCTCAAGACCAGCCTGGCCAACGTGAAACCCTGTCTCTACTAAAAATACAAAAGTTAGCTGGGTATGGTAGGGCATGCCTGTAATCCCAGCTACTTGGGAGGCTGAGGTTGCAGTCAGCCAAATTGTGCCACTGCACACCAGTCTGGGCAATAGAGTGAGACTCTGTCTCAAAAAAAAAAAAAGTCTTTAGGCCAGTGCAATGGCTCACACCTGTAATACCCCGTGCTGATATTGTTTGAAGCCAGGAGCTGGAGACCAGCAGCCTGGTCAGCATAGCAAGACCTCGTTTCTTAAAAACGAAACAAAAAAAAAACAAGCTACTATCTGGAGATAGCATCAGATTTAAAAAATTTTAAAAGCTATGTATGGTGGCATGCCCCTGAAACCCCAGCTACAGGGGAGGTTGAGGCAAAAGGATCCCTTGAGCCCAGGAGGTTGAGGCTGCAGTGAGCCATGATTGCACCACTGAACTCCAGCTTGGGCCACAGAGTTGAGACCCTATCTATTAAAAAAAATTAATAAGGCCGGGCGCGGTGGCTCAAGCCTGTAATCCCAGCACTTTGGGAGGACGAGGCGGGTGGATCACGAGGTCAAGAGATCGAGACCATCCTGGTCAACATGGTGAAACCCCGTCTCTACTAAAAATACAAAAAATTAGCTGGGCATGGTGGCGTGTGCCTGTAATCCCAGCTACTCAGGAGGCTGAGGCAGGAGAATTGCCTGAACCCAGGAGGCGGAGGTTGCGGTGAGCCGAGATCGCACCATTGCACTCCAGCCTGGGTAACAAGAGCGAAACTCCGTCTCAAAAAAAAAAAAAAAAAATTAATAAAATATCTTTACATTCTTATACTGCTTTATAGTTTAGAATGCATTTCATATATTCCCTGTGTACCTCTCATAATCCTCCAAGACAAGGCAGCTATTAACTCATTTTTATGGATGAATAAGTTGAAACATGCAGAAATAACTTGCTAAAAGTAGAAACAACCCAAATTTCTATCAGCTAATGAATGGATAAGTACAATATGGTATATCCATACAATGGAATATTATTCGTCAATAAATAAGTAGTAATATATGTTGCAACATGGATGAGCCTTGAAATCATGCCAAGTGAATAAAGCCAGTCACAAAAGACCACATTATTGTATGTTTCCATGTATATGAAATGTCCAGAATAGGCAAATGTGTAGTAACAAAATAGATTGATTTCCTAGGGCTGGGGGTTGGAGGGAAATGGAGAGTGACTGCTAGTAGGTATGGAGTTTCTTTCGGGAGGATAAAGAAAATGCTCTGAACTTGTGGAGATGGTTGCACAACCAAATACACTAAAAACCATTGAATTATATACTTTCTCTTTTTTTGGAGGCGAAGTCTCACTGTCACCCAGGCTGGAGTGCTGTGGTGTGATCTGGGCTCACTGCAACCTCCACCTCCCAAGTTCAAGCGATTCTTCTGCCTCAGTCTCCCAAGTAGCTGGGATTACAGGCGTGTGCCACCACACCCAGCTAGTTTTTATATTTTCAGTAGAGATGGGGCTTCACCACATTGGCCAGGCTGATCTCGATCTCCTGACCTCAAGTGATCTGCCCGCCTTGGCCTCCCAAAGTGCTGGGATTACAGGTGAGAGCCACCACACCTGGTCAAGTTACATACTTTAAATGGATGCACTTTATGCATTGTGAATTCAATCTCAAATTATCATTTGAGACATGAAGGATGTCTCAAATACAAACACAGAGCAAGTTAAACATTTGAACTTCGATAGATTATGCTTCCCTCAGTACAACCACTGCCACAACTGTGCTATGTTCTCCCAGTCGTGGACTGGAGGCAGCAGCTTCAATGCAATAGAATTAAGATTAACAGGGTCAAGGGAATTAGTGATAGCCCACCATTTGGCCAACAGCATTAGTGGTCTCTGTGTGGTAATATCTATTCTGTGGAGATGGATGTACTCAATAAAGTTGGGGGACAGAGTCACTGGCCCACAAATCCCAGGTAATCACATTAAGAGATCCAGCCTGCTCTGCCTAATGTTATTACTTTCTCCCTGTGGAAAGGAGGAATATAACACTCCAGGGGACTACATTCATTGTTTACTCAGTCAA